ACAAATTCCAAGTTTAGAAGTTCCAAATTATTTGGCGGGAACGAAACTTTTTGAATGACTGGGAACAATCAAGCACCTACTATTCAACATAAATATGCACACATATTTAATGAAGTATATCACAAAAACACAACCAGCTTGGGGATTTCCAAAGGACTTTGAAAAAGAGTCGCGAGAAGTCCATGATCGCCGGGATAGGCTAAAGGTACTTCTCCATTTAAGTATCCGTAAGTGATCCTATCCTTATACCAAATGAATGAACCATAGGACAGTAGGCGATAATGGTGCAGATACGGAATGGGGCAACACCTCAGCTGCCACCGCATTCGAGGCACACTCCATAGAGCGAGCTTCATGGCGGCATTCCTGGCCTTCAATACAAACCATGAATTCACGGGCTCTACTAAATTTTCGAATGAAAATTCGATAATCAATTACGGAAATTATTCACATTAAAAAGCGAATTAAAACCGTACTAAATAAATACGGGTATCGCACTTGTGTTTTAGGATTAGATGCTAAATAAATAATCGAATGGCGCCAAAACAGGTGGAGCAGGGGGCTACGGGGTCCCACGTTTGGGCAAACAATTTGCGCAATTTGTATGCTTTTTCCAGAATAAATATGAAATCAGGTTAATGTCGGGGCATTACATTAATTTTGTTGACTTTCAGGGCGGCCGAGGAAGGAAGCGAGTGAGTGTGCCCGTGAGTCTCCCTCACGTAGCCCATATTAAGATATCGCCCCAGTCATATCCATTTTTAATGCGCTAATTTTTCAGCAATATTCGGCGTAATCTAACAGAGCGTGACGGAGACAGCGACAGCGACAACGCCAGACACAGACACAGGTGGCACGTTGTAAGCCCCACGTCGCAACGCATCTTCCTGCTCTGCTCTTTCAGCCGGATATCCTTTTGTTGTCGAGCCTCTGCGACTTTTATCGCAGCTAATATGCCACGTCACCTGCAAGAGCGGAAAGCGAGACCCGCAAAAAAAAAGAAATACCGAGAAAATTACCAAAAGCCAAGAGACAAGTGCAGCCTTGAGGCCTCAAGTCAGCAGCAATGGAAACCCCACTGAAGGTCAGGACCGAGAATTTACTTGGTTCCAGAAAGGGAATACAGTCAAACATCCACAAGGAGGATTTTTGGAGACTCCAACATTGGGATTTCTTGCCGTATCTGTTTAGAGCTGGAGGGACACCTAGGATACCGCCTCAAGAATTAGAGAACAATAGGTTTCCAGGTTCTATAGAGCAAGAAGATCCAAAAGAAGATCGTAACATGCAAAATTGCATCTATTCCCTACAGAACACCGGAAACCAAATTAAAATTCACGAAGAGCCTTAGCATTCATGCATATATTCCACAAAATCTATGGCTGAAGCCTTTCTAAGAATTGCTACTGCAAAAGCATGTCCTGCACTTATAGTTATACATATACAGATATCCTGCAAAGTCCACAAAATACCATAAATCCATGTACAACATACAAATGGGATTTTTCCGAAAAATTCGTAAGAGGAAAATCAAAATTGTTAAGCTCCAGCGTGCTTAAACTTTTCTGAAGAATCTTTTAAGCTGCAACTCGAACCGAAGCTGAAACATAAACTGGCAAGTATTTCAGGTATTTCGCGGCACGTCTTAACGGGCAACTATTTAAAGCTGCCAACATATATTGCTCTTACATAATTAGTTGTGTTTAAAGTTTAGTTCTTTTCGTTTTTATTTTCTTGGCTGAAGGGATGCGTGGCATGTGGGATTTATGGGGATTCCGTTTACAGTTTTGTTGGGGGTTTGGTGCGGAGCGCGGACTCTGTTGTTAGCAGGCTAAGCGAACAGCAGGCTGTAATTATAAACAGCTGCTGTTAAAGATAACATACAAGATTGCTAGCTGGCACTGTTAGCAACATTTGGGTTCTTTGTTCCTGTGCAGTGGCTTGCCCCGTGGCTTTATGGATGTTCTTGAATTTCAAAAACGAATCACCTATATTCTGTAGTCAGAATTTACAATACCAATAATCCAAATTAAATTAAATTAAATTAAAGTTCAAATTTTGTATAATTAATACTTTAAATAAATATGGACAAATTTTATAATTTCCCAAAATCGTTTGCCTCTCATTTCCTCCCAGCGAGCGGATAATTGTTGCACTTTGCTTATTTAATTAATTAATACCCAGCCAATAAATGTGTTTGCATGTTTGGAGATTCCCAACACTTTTCGCAGGGTTATTAAACCTCCAAAAAAAAAAATGCAACCAAATCACGAACCCCCGAAAAAAAAACATGCAAAAAGCGGCATGCAAAAGCGAACCACTGTTAAGTTAACAGCAGCTCAGTCTCCGTTTGCTGTTGCGTCGCTGCTTTGACTTCGGCTCAGCTCTGCCGGCGCTAACAGTGGCCAGCAGTGGGTCTTCGGCTGCTGCTGCTACGTGCCGGCCGGGACTTGCTCTCTTTTTTGGGATTTTCTCTATATTTTGTGATGGTATATCCTCTCTTCGTGGAGGGATTTTTCCTCGTCTGATGTTGCTGGCAACATTTACATTGTATGAGCCAGACTCAAGTGCCGAGAAATCGAGCAGCATTGTTCCTCAACATGGCACGGATTGAACAACATTTAGCATACCCTGGAGAAATGGATGTTCTAGAATTGATCAAATGTTTTTCATCCAATGCACCAATAAAGGCCAAAACCAGTCAGTCTCTGTTTTAAAGGTATTTCAAGGGTATTTTGAAGGGAGTGCTGTTCTTACAGAAACCAACAATGGGTATCGGGATCGAGATATATATGCAAGACACTCAATATATGCACGAATGTGTCTAAAAACATATCAATCTGAGAAAAGATCTTGATTTATCTTTATCTTCATTTGATCTTGATCTTTTTTAAAAAAGTTTGGAAAACACTATCTTCATATAATACGCTGTCTGCTGCCTGCTGCTTTCAGTCACCTGCCAGCGGTTCAGCGCGTCGCATCGAAGCGGCAGAGTCGTGGTCGTTACAGAGAGTATGTGAAAAGCGTGTTTCTTTCCCTCAAACATTTGTGTTTTCCTAAACCCCCGCCATCCCCTCATCTTAACCATTGTGTGTGCTTATGTGTTGGTGTTAATTTTGCATGTGTTTTTTTGTTATTTATAATTCAAACACACAAAATATCTAAAAAAAATATAAATAAACCTATCCTGTTTGAGAACCTGTTTTTTGTTCCACACAAACTTCTTTGGGTTCTGTTCTATCTAATGCTCTTTGATTGAACTCGATTCGAAGAGCAGCAACAGCAGCGGGTCTCCGGCTTCGGCTCTAAGAGGAATCTTAAGCGCGCGCCGTGACGTCGTCGTCGCAGTCGCAGTCACAGTCGCTGTCACCGGTTCCCGTCTCCCCGCCGTCACCGCCTCCGTCTGGTTCTCAGCACCGTATCAATAGAAGTTTTTCATTTGATTTACCGTTAGCGGTCTGCCGCTACCACGGCCGCCTAGCACTGCTGGCTTTTTAGAGATACCCCTGCACTGGTGGGGTATGATGGTTGGGCACTATTTTGGGGGCCTAGGAAGAGAGTATAGAAAAAAGAATATATAGGCTATAAAGACAGAGCTTGATGGTGGGAAAAAGCATTCCTTGTCTTTTTTTGTTTCTGAAAGATATTCCCATCAAATTCAACAACCCAAAAACTCGGCCAATTCGATTCCAAATCCCATGGCTGCATCATCCTCTAATGATAGTTTTCAAGGGTATCCCATACTTCGTTCCAAAGACCACACATTTCTACTACTATGTTCTCGAGTGGGCAGCGCCAGCCAAGCGTGCATCTTTGTGTTTAGAAAGCCACTCGGCAGGTCCCAGACCCACTCCCCAGTCCCCCCCGACTGCGTCTCTGCGTTCACCCCATCTTTGGGAGGCTTCGCGCTTGGGGCCTGGTCTTCACAAAAAAAATAAAATAAAAAGCTAAAAGGCAGCAGAATCAAAGCAGAAGAAGGCTTAATTAAATTTAAAGCAAACTTGGCTCGAAAACTGTCTGCAGACAAATACCCATCGAAAACACACACACACACACACCCATATATAGATACGTATATGGCCAGACATTATAGATTGACCGACTTCTTGTAGCGAAACCGAAACCCCCGTTAATTGATTGGGTTCTGGAATCTGATTTTACAGCCGTTCATTTGCTGCGAAGAGAGAAAATTGGATAGAAAAATATGCGTAGAGTAGAAATCAAATAAATATTGGCCTAGCCAAACAAACAAATAAATAAATCAATTGATTTGCCATGCATTTGGTAACTTGTGAACCGATACGAGTACGATTTGTAAATGTTTGAGTACTCTTTCGATGGAACAACTGGCTAAAAAAACAAAACGCATTTTTCCGAAAATAAATATGTGAAGTGAAATTCCAAACCAAACCCTTTTCTGATATTTATTCCAATCAAATAAAATACCAAAACCAAAACAAGAATTTTATGTCGAAAAAAAGCCTTTAAATTCGTTATAAAAGCATGTGCCTCAAACAGACAACATTTCACATTTATCGCCGGACTGGCCGACTGGCAATCATAATTATTATTCGTGGCATTCCAGGCCCAGTTCTCATTCATTCATTCTCGGTGGGTTTTCGGAGGGCGGGGAAAACCACACGGAAACATTCCACCAAATGGGCAAACAGGTTGCCACAAAAAACAGCTGAGGCCAGAAGGAAAATGAAAAGTCAAACACGTGCACGGTGGAACGGTGGAGCGGTAGAACGGCGGAAAAGGTTAACGAGAACAGCAACAATAAAACCCAAAATTTTTTATCAAACAGAAAACAAAACCAAATTCAAGATTCGCGCGGAAACTGAAAACCAATTATTACAAAACGACCCAAAAAAAAATTAATAAAAACGTTAAAAATATCTCCTAAAAAAGTAGCCAACAAACGACCAAAAATATTCCTTAAAAAGTCACCTAAAAACCACTGAATATTCAAAAAAAACCAAAATAAAAATAAAAACCACCAAAAAAAGGAAGGCGAACAACTAAAGGAATTTTCAGGCGTTTGGCATTTTGTCAACCCGTGAAGGGCCACCCGAAAGAAGAGACAGAGAGAGAGAGAGGGAGAGAGCCGCACAAGTGGCTGCAACAAAAGGGCTACCACCGAATCCCAGACCTCGCGACCCCTCTGGAAAACGAAAAACTCAGGCCGGAAAACGCTTGTTTCGACACGTGAGAGGAACAGAGAGCCAGAGCGGCAGAGAGAGGAGTGTGGCTGCAGCAGCAGCAGGAGGAGGAGGAGGAGTACAAAGTGAGGCCAAACCGAGGCTAGTGACAAGAAACAACAACAAAACAAACAGGTGAGAAAAGGAGACCCTGCATGAATGAATGAGCGAGTGAGTGAGTGCCTGAATGAATGGAAGCCAGAGCTGGAGCAGGAGCAGGAGCAGGAGCAGTGGTGCGGCTTTAAGGGGTGCGGGGTTACGGGGTACGGGGTACTGGGTACTGGGTGCGATTGAGTGATTGAAACTGATAAAGAATAATAATAAAAAAGGGCTTTGGCTGTGCCTGAGGATTTTCCCAAACAATTCTGTCGTACCCTGTCAATGTACAGAAAAAGAGTGTAATAAGCTGTTGGGTTGTAAGTAATGAAAAGAAAAAGTGCTTGGAAATGCATGATATGAGTGTAATATTCGGATCTATATAGTACACATATTTCGAATTGTTCTGGGTCGTTTTGCTACGTCGTCGTCCGATATTCTACTCATATATGCGCAAGCGGGCAAAGCGAGTGAGCCAGGGTTGACGCATAAGCGAAGCGAGTGGGGAGGAGGCTTAAACCCAAAATATCATATACTAAGTAATTTAAAGATTCCTTTTGAAAATTGTCATAAATTGAGATAATTTCATAAAGATATGGAACGCCGATTACTACAAAATATACATTGTTATGGTCTATGATAAAGGAATAGAAATAGTTGCAACTTAACCCAAAATGATTGTAATTAATATAGGATATTGTAGTATTATCGGTATATGCTATTCGGTATTCTATTCACTAGAGGATGCAGATATTTTCGTAGATTTTTTGCACCTCCAGAGATCCATTCAATCCAAAGAATACCTCCAACTACTGGGTAACCCTAGTCGGAATATCGAAGGTACTTTTGTGCTTTCATGTTGCTTGTTGTTTTCCTTCCATTTTCCCCCCACTGCCCCACTGCCTCTCGCATTGTATATATGCAGGAGGAGCTGCCAGGGAGAATTCTGCTCAATAAGCAATTAATATGCACAAGTGTCTGGCCGCCGCGAGAGGGTTGCCCAATTGAGTTCCTCTGTTCGTTCGGTGGCAGCCCGAAATCTCCGAGCGGAAATGGTCTCGGTTTTCGGTTTGGGTTTGGGTTTTGTCAGTAGTGTCTCTGTTGTGTCTGACAGTCTTGTCCGTCCGTCTGTCTGTCCGTACGTACGTCTGTCTGTCTGTGTGAAAAAGCGGGAAAAAGAAACACCCAACGTGGCGCATTGTTTCGCTTTTCCCCGGCAGTGTTAAGAGCTTAATTTAATTTCAAAAAGGTTTTTCAACTTGATGGAAATTGAGTTTGGTTTTGTCGTGGAAATTACAGACACCCGAAAAAAAATCATTGGAAAATCATTGGGGAATAAAGAAATCCATGGCTTTGCAGCTCTGAAATCTTGAACAAAAAAATTCTACCAAAATAATTGGATGAGATTTCCTTTCTATTCCACATTAAATAAATCCCAAAATAGTCTGTAAAAATCCCTAAATTACTGTCACGCGTCTCATGAAATCGAGGAGCCATTTTTCAGCAATTAGTAAAAATCTTGGTGCAGCATTTGGAGGGCACTGCGCTGAATCTGTTCCTATTATCTCAATTGAAATTTCCCTTTGAGTAATTTGAGACCAAATTTGATTCAGATTCTCTTCTTGACGGTGACTTCCACTCTCCCGCCTTTGTTTCGCAATTTCTGCGTTGGCCCCAGTCACGACTTTAACATTAATCTATTGCAATTTATATTTGCTTTTGTTGGAAACTGCAAACATCCCGAAACATACAAACAGAAAGAACTATTAAGCAGGGGCGTAGTCGGAGGGGGGAGATCTAGTACATATTTCACAGTATGAAAAGGGATTCCCCGACACTATTCCTACGTATTCCCTACCTTTGACTTGCGGCTTAAGGAACTACACTTAACCCTAGACCCTCCTCTGCTAAGCCTCTGGACCTTTCGGCTTAACTCTTCTGTAGGAAGTTCCCCCAAGTATCAACTAAAGTTAGCCCGGAAAAGTTGCCAAAACGTCTGAGGGAATGCCAAAAATACGCAAAATAAAAGCTGCAGATAGAAGAGAGCAACAACGAAAGAAAAACGAAATTCGACAAAAGAAAAACAATGCCACTAAAGGGCACAAATAATGCGCTCCGTATTGCCGGAGTCAAGTCGAATCCCCGGCTCCGGTAACCGTCTCCCGGTAGTCGGGGAGTCCTTGATACCATCTCTAGGCCACGTCGGGTCTCTCGTGAAATATCGCACTTTGCTTATAGAAATTGTTATCTGTGCTGGAAATAGAAATTCAGGAAAAGTCCAAATAAACCAAAACACAAACAAAAAGTGGAAAAGAGATGAGAATAAAGCAAAGCGCAAACACACACAGACACAGACGCACACACAGACGCACACAAAAGTAATGTGAAACACAATAAAAGTGTCTAACTGTATGAAGAAATGAAAGTCAAAATGTGGAGGGGGGGGAAGGGTGTGAGGCAGAGGCAGATGCTGGGGCAACATGCGTTCGGTACTTCTCAGTGAAGAAGCATCTTCTTTGTTGGCTTCATTAGCTGCCTCAATGACTTTGTTTCTCTTCGTTCTTCGTTCTTTATGATTCTCTTTCGTTGATCTTGATCGTGAACTCGAAAATATTTCGAAAATGTGCTAAAGCATGAGAGAAAGAGGCAGAGAGAGAGGGCTGCCTCCTCGTGTCTGGGGGTTTGGAGAAGAAAGCGTGCAAATTATGGTTTCTAGGAAACTGGGTGCCTTCCCACCTGCCCAGCAGAGAGCCACAGATATAGTAATTACTGGAGAAACAGATGTAATTGGGGAAGTAATATTTGAGCTTTGAGGCACTGAAGAATGCCTTGATGGCCAGAGTGCAGTGGAACGTTTAGGCCATGAATTACAGTGGAGTTTCTCTGGCTGCAACTAATGTTACGCCTATCTAAGGAGCTCCAACCGCAATCCATCTTCACTACTCATCGCCACAACCTTCAAGACGCACTCGCATCTTTTTAGTTACTCCGAATGCCTGGCGTACAAGGTAGTAACCAAGTTTGGTTATATGGCCCACAAAAGCCACAGAAGCCACTTCCTCTCTGCCAAAATCTGTTGCCCCTCCTCGCGCGGGGATAATTCAATTATGATCGGTGAGGGGAGGGGAGGGGAACATCGCGAGAGGCAGAGCAGACAAAGCTAATGAACACCGACTGAATGGCAAGTCAAGTGGGAAGAAGACAGGGCTCATCATAATGATGGCGATGATTATGTTGAATGTAAAATGGGAAAACGAAGGCAAGTGCAAGTGCCAGAGAGGGAGAGGCACACAGCAGGAGGGGGGGAGCAGCAGAGTGCATGCCAAAGCGGGATGGTTGGTCGGAGTGCAGGCACGAGCGCGAGGGGGAGAAAGAATACAAATGAGTCGCCGCGGCAATGAACTCGAAAGAAGAAATGCAGACTCACACACAAACAAAAGACGAGTGGAAGAAGAAGAACGAGAATGCATAACTTACAAAAATAAGGCAGGCTAGGCTTAAGAAGTCGAGCTATTGATACCCTGGGGGATTACTATGGAAGAAATCTACTCATCTTTTGATCTGATTAGAGAGCAAAGCAGTCTGCAGAGTTAACAGAGCAATTAACAGAGAGAGAGAGGCTAGCAGCGGCCGTCGCGCAAAGAGAGGCGAGAGCCGAGCTTCAACGATCGACGACAAATATTCGGGACCGAAGTCTCCCTCGTGTCGCACGCATATATACTTATAGCGAGGGCAGGCTTTGTTTAAATTCTAGCTACGGAATACCCAAGGCCGCCTTTAAGCCTACAAGCATGTACACGTTCTATCCTGCTTGGATTGGGTTTGAAATTATCCATCATACCCTCTCTGCTAGGGTATCAAAAGCCTGCCAAGCACAGAGAGCAAACCCGAGCAAAGCACACAGAATGCAGTCTACGCTCTGCCTCTGCCTCCGCCTCTGCCGCCAGCGTTGCAGTTGCAGTTGTCAGTGGCATCATTATACCAACAGAGATTTTTGTTGGCCTATTAGGAGGAGCAGAAGAAGGATGGCGCCACTGGCTAACAGAAAAGAACTGTATTTTCTTTGCAGCTGCAGAATATTGTTAGCCGAAGGAGCAGGCCAGGCGGCAGAGGAGAGAGAGGGGCAGCCGCATCTGTTTCTGAAAGGAAGAGAGGGAGAAGGAGAGCGAGAGAGAGCGTGAGAGGAGAGGGCGAGGGAGAGGTCATTCATCCAGCGTTTATCGCGTTAAGGCTAGGCCGGGCACTCTCCCCACCTCCCGCTAGATCTGGCACTTTATTAACATATTTCTCACTCTCTCCCTCTCCCTCCCCCACCCTCTTTCGTGGTTACTGTTGTCGGTTCCTGCCGCACCCGCTCCCCTCGCTCTTCTATGTGTTCTTTGCATTCTTCTCCTTCTGCTGCCAAGTGCTTGTTGTTGTTGTGTTTGTTGTTGCTTTCTTGTGCTATTTGTTTATGTTTTTAGTACGTTTTTCTTAATATTTTTGTGTTTCTTCTTCTATTTGTTGTTTATTCTTATTCTATTTGGTGTTATTCTTTTGAACTTGATTCTTTTTCTTCATTCTTTGGGCTTTGTGCTTCTTATAGAGTATGAATTCCCTTTAGGAAACCCATACCATTAGTTGTAGGGTATATATTTGTCCAACATTTTGTTTTAGAGAGCCCCGGCCATTGCCGCAGCTTAAAACGGTCCCCCGTTCGTTTACATTTTGAAGACTACATATGCACATTCTTTACCTTATCAAGGTCCCTTTCAACTACTCTCCATTTCCTGATATTTAAAGTTCTCAAATATTCACCTTCATCCTTCACCCTCACCTCAACCCCTACCTTAATCACTTTGTAATGCGTCAAAAGTTTTTGAAGGGTATTCCCCAGGCGACTCCTCTGCCCCACTGCTGCTGCCTGCTCTTCCGCAGACACTCTCTTTTGAGGTTTCCTGCTGTCCTTCAGTCTCCCAGCAGTGGCTGCGGGAGTGTGAGAAGAGGCAGAAGCTGTCTGCTAAAGAGGTCCTCCTGGGACCCTCTCCTGACCAGTGCTC